AAACGCGCGCTGGCGACGTTGAAGACATGCAATTCGATATCAGATCTTCAGCACGTGGCATGTACGCTAGAATAAACTAAGGAGAAATTCATAACAGAACACCTCGATTCTTCGAGATTGAGTGCTTCACTTTGGGGGATTTGATACATTTTGTTAAAGCCCTATGACATAGATATCCTGAATTGTCTTGAAATGAGTAAATTGTAAGTATAATTGTATAGTGTTGGTGAATGAAATTTGGTGAGCAAGTCAGCACAATTCGGTTAAGATAAGGAATAGTTGAAAAAAAATAGTCCGCAGAATTTTAGCTGCTAATAAGCAGAAAGGTAGTTTCCTCTCATATATGTGCCGCGCCCTCATGAAGAAAAAAACACCATAGACGCCCGAGTATAGCTGATAATACTATAGACTCGGCTAAATGTATTGTTATGTGCTCATTTGTCTTAACATTTGCATTACACTGTAAAGTAGATGATATTTCGTGGATACGTCTTACAACATGCCGGTATGAATTTTACTCAAGATCACGTTTATATGCAGTATATTAGCCTACATTTAGGGGTGTTTTACATAATCATTTACGTATTTTGTAAATACTAAAATTTGTAACGATTTGTAGATTTTTTCTTTTTCTTTTATTTTGTCGTTCGTGGTCTATTTCAAAAGTTCCTTTCACTGGATATTCGTCGATGGAATGTATAGGATAACGATGGGTCTAAAAGGAACGAATACTGTAAAACACGATGAAAAAGCGACATGCAATTTTAGCGAATTGTGGCAAAATGACGTAATAGCGAAATGTTGATATAGCGAATCTCTCTTGTCGTTGTTGATTTTCTGTTTTCACAATACTTGTCTATCGAGCACCAAAACAAATGCGCCGTTATCACCTTCATAAAAACAAAGAAAAACTGTCAAGTGTAATTTGATTCTGTTCGCAATGATAAAAAACTGATTCAACGGGGATTTGAAAAAGCGGGTATCTTGCTGCGTTACATCCAGAACATTTACTTTTTTTTCATATTAGGTCTCAACAATTTTTGTTTTCATTGAAATAATGACCACAATGAATACGTTTATTTTTTTGTGTTAATTTACTTTTCAGTACGCTTTTTTTTCGTGATGTTACAAAGTGTGTGTGGATAAAAAGACGTTGTTTGACGGCCATTTTGAATTTGTTATAAAGTCATTAACGACATTTTGAATTAGCAATGAAATCAGTTCTCTCGCTAAATTCGCGAAAAAGACATGTTTTACAGTATGCGAGTTGTTATCTTAGGTGTCTTAGTCGCAGTTTACCTGTATAGGGCTATGGGTAATGTATATGTTGGCGACTCTCCCGCAGTGGGTTTACGCCCACCTGCACTACATGGTTCATCAAATTATTTCACAGTAGAAAAATCATTTCCCAAAACAGCAAAACGAATTTGAAGTATGCGTATATGAAACCGATGGAGGTAGCGTACGTCTTCAGTATAACCATTCTGAACAGAAGTCTCAATTTCTATATTTAAGCCTCTTTTAATATAAATTAGAAAACTAAAATGCATTTTTCTTGGCAATAAACACGTGGCGAGGAGATCACATTGAAATACTAAGAAATCAAAACAATTACGCAAAACCTATCATTTTTCAGTTAAGGAGTACCTATACATTCCATGACTTGTCATTGTATTTCATCTTCATTTTTTCTAATTTCTGATTATTGTTGAATAATGCAATTTCAAAATAATCCGATTTCACTCACTATTTTTATTTTGTTAATGGATTATATGCCAATACTATCTATTGCTTTCATGATTTAATTTCTAATTTAATTAACTATTACATGTTTGTGCATTAATGTTTAATGGATCTATCACTAATTGCATATGCAGGTTTGTCATGTATACATACAAAATTGAAAAAAACCACCAATCTACATGTATGATCCGGCCATAGTATTTCCTTTTTTATTATTTTGGCAGTAAATATTTAATAATGCAGGTCCATGTTACTCACTGTGAAGTTTGAAAAGAGACTGTAGTGTACTTTTACTTGTTTATCTGTTTTAGCTTTTATTCATAATATAGAAATCGTTGTAGTCAGATAGCATTAAAATAAACAAGTAAAGTACGATGTGCAGTGTGACCACAATGGGAATGTAGTAAACGATTACTGTTACATGCAATCATCCTTTTGTGCACACTATTTCCGAGTGTCGAATATTTGAGTAGCAATATCTGTGGGAGTAGAACCCATTTTTATTTAGATCATCCAAGTAGTGAAGTAGTCGCTCTAATGACTGAGCTGTGCTGGTAAATGAGGTATGACGAATACGTAATAAATAAATACGCCATAAATATGCTATGCCACTCACATCCGCTTATTTTTGGTTTTTTCACTCAACATTCATTGCTTAACCACGCAAACAACTGTTACGTAACGCACATAACACTAACATGTCAATGGATATCAATTATTCAAACAAAGGGTGGGTGGTTCTAGAACCTAGCGGTCAAATGAATGGTTAACGTTCGAGGACTCCACTCATCTAAGTTTTTGGTTTGAGCCAGAAATCTCTAGGTATCGTGAGTTCTCTTTTATACTGTATCTTGCGTTGGTGGATTACCGTTCGTGGTCTATTTCAACATTGATGTGCAAACCAACTATATTTAATGATGGAATGAATATGTTTAACAAGAATGTTTACTTTTTTTAACATCAATATCTGTAGAGTTACACCGCTTTAGTATTAGTTCAGCGGACACAAGGTCTTAAATACGCATTGTCAGAGCAGTCGAAGACTGTTGTCTCTTTGGTCACGTTGACAAGGTGGTTTTATGCCACGTTAGAGATGCATTTATTACTGTACAATTACCAAGCCAACTCTAGGGTCTGCTGCACCACTTATACGATCATATACGTATGTTAAAAACGTTAATTCTTTTGCATTCAGACAAAAACACTAGCTAACGGTAAAAAAAAATTAGCAGAATTTACACAATTGTGTTTGTGACAGTATGCGTACATTGTATTCGTATTTTTGGCGGACGCCATTGTGGCTCGTACGCATCGCAATGTTTGCTGGGTCAAACGGACCATCAGAAAAGAGGAGGTACCGTATTACAACAGTTTATACTACTGTGTGTAACTTTTCTGAACGAATGTCTTGATTCCTTCATTATCGCATTTTTTAAAGACAAAATAAGTCAGGAAATAACAAGGCTTTGTTCTTGTCCAAAGCAAATTGCGAGGGAGCATATCATGTTATGAAACATCGAAAAATAGAAAATTCTATAAATAATGTATTACGAGAAGAAATTAAATACATCTGCATGATATAAATTCGTTTTGTCGATCCCATGATTTACAGGAATTGCAATTATGAATTTCCAATTATTTTAACTTACAGACATGTTAATTGGTGGACCAACTTGCCAATTAGAGTATATTTACTTAAATAAATACATTGTCAAATGTTGTGTTTCACTGACACTAACTAATATATGTGATAGAAAACATACTGATACTTTATTGCTCATGCTTTCACAGTGATAGTTTGAGATGTATTAAGCATGTAGTACAGGTTTTCAGGAAGTGGAATTCACACTATATATTTCACAAGACATCATAATTCACACTAATTAAAAATCAACGTTGTAATAGATGTAACTTTCATGTGTTTTATCAAAAGTTGAAAAAAAGTTTATTTTCGGTTTCTTTGTTTCAGTTTCAGTTCTCAAAAAAAAATAACATGAACAGAATAATAACCTTTTTCATATGAAACATCGCTGTCACTAATATTCATCCTTAGTATGTTCTGAAATCTGAGACACTTCCATCAAAATAACATGGTCGTCGTTTTTTTACAAACAAATCCCACACTGGGCACCCAGAGTACAGCTTCACGTTATAAAGGTAGACTCGGAGACATGTTAACCCGCAAGATACATGACGTACGAAGTAAGTCATATCTCGTCGTTTTTTCCCCGCACAACATGACGGATGCGAATTGGATTGGCAAGATACCGGACATAGGTGCGTAATATCACCATAGTTACCCGTGTTTTCACCATTGGTGTTCCTTGTCAGTCTAATTTGCATTGGCGTTATCATCATCATACGGGGCATTCCTTTGCTATGTACTTGTGAAAAATAAGTGACGAGCAATTCACAATACACATAAAGAAAATCGAAACTATGAAACCTGTCAATTCTCCCAGAAACGTAATAAAGCATATATATATATATATATCTTGTGTCCTGTCACTGTATCTTTCGAGTATATCTTTATTTTTTCTATTATTTAATAATGGAACTTCAAAACTTAGCTCATTATATACATTTCATTAATGGGCACATAATATTAATAGCTAAAGCTTTCGGGATTTACTTGGCTAAATGAACTAACTATTACATATTCGTGTATATATTCTTAATTGCTCAATAATTGATTGTATTTGCAGGTGTAACATGTGTACATGATACATACATGATATAAACACAACTTAGCACGAATGATGATATCGGTGCGTTAGCATTTAATTGTTTTTCTATTTTGACAGTGTCATTAAATTAAAACGTAAGATCAACTTAGCATCGAACAAATTTTATGTACTGTGATGTTTTGTTAGTTGCTTGTTTGTTTGTTTGTTTTGAAAAAAACTGTAATGTAGACTTGTCGGTTAAGTTTTGAGGGTTTTTGAACTGTTAAACGCCATACATAATTATTGTTTGGCTTCATTTGGTTACAGTGTTATGTTTACTTGATATAGGAACAGCTCACAGCTCACGCCTCTTGAAAGTCAATAGTTGTGCGGATGACGTAATTGAGATAAATGAAACTGCAGTAGCTTGATCATTTATTATGTGTATGCGTCTCCAAGCCGACGTGGTGATGAGAGGGCGCCTTTAGCCATGTAATGTAAGGATTGAATATTGAGATATATTGAAGCGTGAATGGGATGTGCTCATAATTCCTAGAATATACAGCGCTGTGAATTAGACATCTCGTCGGTATGTCACACAACATATCTGATACGAATTTCACTGAAGAATTTGGCAAAATACAGTCTAGCAACTTACCTCCATGGGTGTTCCATATCGCAATACCCGTGTTTTCAGCAGTGGTGTTCCTGGTTGGTGTGATCGGCAACGGCCTAGTTATTTTTATCATTCTACGATTTAAGAAAATGCGGAAATGTGTCACAAATATCTACATACTGAATCTTGCTCTGGCGGATTTTATATTTTTCTTGGTTCTGCCTTTCGTGGTATATTTCAACGCTTCAGTGAACTGGATATTCGGGAAAGTGATGTGCAAGCTCACGATGGGTCTTGATGGAATGAATATGTTTACGGGGATTTTTACCTTAACAGCAATGGCTGTAGACAGACATGAATCTATTATACATGCAGCGGACACAAGGTCTTATCGTCGGATTCTCGGAGCAAAATGCATATGTATCGGACTGTGGGTGTTGTCTCTGTTGGTCACGCTTCCCCTGTGGTTTTACGCTACATCGGAATTGCTACATAACAGTTTGTCTGTCTGTACCATCGTATGTTCAGTTGCAGTGACATATTACTTTATGGCTGCCGCTTTTATTCTCGGGTTCGTAGCACCACTTATGATTATCTGCGTGTGTTATGTACGAATCGTCAGATTCCTTCGCTGCAAGCAGAAATCGTTACGTCAAACAGCAATCAAAATTGGCAGGATTTCCACTTTGGTTGTCGTCACAATATGCGTATTTGTATTTTCGTGGACATCGTTCTGGCTTGTGCGCATCGTATTGTTAGCTGCACCGAATGGACCACCGTCGAAATCGATGGAGGTAGCATACTATTGTAGTCTATGTGTAACCTTTCTAAACGGATGTCTTGATCCCTTCATATACGCATGTTTTAAAAACGATATAAGTCAGAAATTGTCAAGAATGTGTTCTTGTCAGAAACACATGACAAGATGATCACAATATATATACGACATGGACATGACGAAAATCCGATAAATAACGTGATACACTGGACGTTCAGAAAAAATAATCAGATACTTAGACATGCTATTACCTGCTTTTATAATTTGTTTTTCAAGTATTTCTTCAATGTTGTTATTTTTATATAAACTTCGTCAGAAAAACTCGTTTGAGTATATTCATAGTATCTACTCATTTTGCGAGAATCGTTGTCAATTCGATTCTAGCATACATAAATATTTATTAACAAATAATGTAAATGGAAACTATAATCGTGTTAACCCCACAAATCACAAGCAATGTAAGAACACGTGTGTATTATATGCTGAATTCCAAATGTTATGGATTGAATATATTATAGCAAAGTATATTTCATGTGCCAAATATTGAATACATTAAAGGTAAATCACAAATAAATTTACATATCGCAGTTACATATTAATGGTAAACATGTAATGAGATAGCCACGGTGTCTGTGGAATCTGGAATCGAGAGTTAGGCGTTATGGGAATGGGGTGTATGACATTAACAACTGAATTGCAACAAACAGAGGAAGACAACGTCCTTGTCGATATTCTCCAGTGAATAAAAACAAGTTAATATTAATGTGATATTTGAAACAAAAAGATTTTTAACATAATAGTAGAATTGTAATAAAAAAACTTACAACAAATACCTGTTGGTATTAATACTGTGAATTTGTATAATTTGAAGGACCACACGGTATTTTCATTAAAATATGAATAATATGCATTAACGTACGGAGTGTTGAGAGTTTGATAAGAGCTAATAAAGGCGAGATAAGACGCAAAATTACTAACTGAGAAAATGTATGAGCTGATACAAAGAAAAACAAAAGGACAAATTCAATAAAATAAACGATGTGACACTAAATAATGTTCACGTGTGACGAAGGAAAAATGATATGTTTAATGTGAAAACAAAACTTAGTTCATAAGTTAATAGGGACTATACGTGTAATTAACAATGATCAATAGTTTCACAAATACATTGATAATTCACTCGCTTTTGACACAATGGAATATCAAAATCTAATGTAATCTATTAACACTAACAACAATAAAAACACGAAAACAAAAACAGGGATCACGGAGCTCCCTTTGATATGTTCGTATCGTATGTTCATTTTAAGAAGTTACTGCACAAGTCATGCTCAACTTGTCAAAAGTTGTTTTAAGAAAGTAATGATTGGATATTACGAGCATGTACATGTATCACGCAATATGATTTAACTGCAACTTCATTGGAATGAATGAAACAACGCCCAATGTGCATGTCATTGTGCAATGGATGGTGACTAAAAACACCGTTGCCCCCCCTGAAATTGTTCTCGTTTTTTTGATTTTAGGTATAAGTATCGGTCTTATTTCTGGTCAAGAAACTGATTTAATGCCTTGCAAATTCATTACAGTTATCTGATGAATTCTTAAATAAACACTACAACTGTCTGAGTAAGTCGTTCTACGTGCCCAACATGCCGTCCTTATTAACATACTGGACATTGGCTGAGTACGTGGGTGATGAATGTATAGGTGTAGTAAACCAATTAACGAATTACATAATATATTGCGTGACGTCAGGGCTGGTACTTAGCAGGGCTATGAAATCCGGTGAGCAAATCCACGTACTACTATAGACGAAACGGATATTTAACATCGAAATATGAAACCACATGATACAGTTACGAACGTGGATGTCCATCGTGTTATCTCTAGTTGCTAGTTACATTTAATTCACCCGGGTGACCACCACTGGCAACTGTATTCATATATTCATTGTGCAATTTATTTTCGTTTTTTATAACAGTGGTTACGCTGTAATACTTAATATGATACATACGCATAAGGGATAGTAGGATATTGAGATCGTGGCCCTGCAATATCATATTTAATGGACTCGTGTCTATTCATTTTTTTTTGACAAGGTGTTGTGTGTATGTCCATGCCTAAGAATAAATTTACGTCTTCAAGCAAGTGTTCATTCACCAATGCTGCCGTTGGTGGTGTGGTTGAGGGTCCATAATCAGTCTCTGCCACATAACTCTTTCTTTCTTTCTGCTCTTCGTGCCAACATTCAGTAAATTTGATAAAAATGCTTATGAAATCGCTGCCAAACATACAGACGCTCTCTTGAGTACAATGAAGTGAGACATACCGATGCCTTCCGTGAAACGTAATTTTTTTGAATATTACCAGCTGTTCGAGCAATCACTTACACGCACAAGACTAGAGAACACTGGAGAATTATAATATACTAGTTAGAAAGTAGCAAAGACAGGTTGAAGAATAGATTCTCTCGCGTAGACTTGAAATATCCAAGACTGGTCTGCCGCACAGTCTTCAGTAGTTACTGTGTCTTGAGGTTATAAATATGATAACATTAATCGTAAGCTTCCAAACAATAAGAGGAGAAGATTTTGGTGATACCTGATTTACACTACTATAACGCACGCGTGTAGAATCTTTTTCGTAATCACACTCCAACTTTCCTCTTTTGAAATTGTTCCGCTCCTGGGTTCCATAACATCACTGAATATCATCATAAATAATTAATAGCAATGAATACGCCTCAGAATAGTCTAGTCCTGGTAATTTCGCATCGACCAAGATAAAAAAAAATGCCAGGGCTGGGTCACTCTAGGCTAGTAGTAATATTATGTTATAGATACAGTTGCGTCGTGTACAACGTGGATCCCAAAGCGACGAACAAAACACACTTAAGATACGCGAGGCAACTTTAGCGTTTCAAAATCATTACTAAAGCTTATTAAAATCAAAATTAGATTTCAATTTCTGTATAGTCGTTTGATAAATTTGTTACTGGTGTCTGTTTTGTACGTATTTTAGTTTTGTAAAGAGTTATAAGTATGAGAGATGAAAATCATTATTATTATTACAATAGAGTCGGTCACATATTTGAATAATAATTATATTAAACATGTGTGTAAGATTGTGTTTAAAGATATTTGTACTAATTGAATGGTGATCAGAAACCATTAGACTAATCAAAATCAGTGTGATTTTGAATTTGTTTAGTCCCTCCCCCAAAGCAGTTCAATACACACCACTTTCACGAATAATTAAATAACCAGCTGTGGTGTATGTAATAGATACATCATTTGTCAAATCATTAAACGAAATAAGTCGAAAACTGGCTTTAAAGATACCCAGCCAATGCGTTTGTGCTCGCCGTACGTGGTGACGTCGTGTTCATTGCAAATTCTCTCGATTAGGGATTCAGTGCATAGTTCTTACCGATAACGTCTAATTATGTGAGATTATGTTTCATATTCCAAATAGATAGATACACTAATATATGGTGTGCATGTGCATTTAAGGAAGACTCAAATTTCAAACAAGCTACTCCCACACATAAAGAGTAAATTATTTTTTTATGACACAATTTTCCATAATTATTTTCACGATGCAACAATGTATACTCGTGTTGAACGTTATAAAAACCACCGAACACTAGATGCATCACGAATAGGAAAATGAAAAATATAGTACCGAATATGATTCTACCACGGTTACAATCTTAGGTAAACAAGGTACCAAAGCTGTGTAAAGAAAATTGTAGGTACAAATGCTTTACATAGCGTCACGTGACACGTGACGAGACAGTGCATCATTCCCATCTGAAATTTATGGGATACACCGAATGTATGTAAAGTCCTTGTAAATCTGTCCAAACTCTATTAAGAACGTTGACGAAGAAGATATTTACATGGTGAGTAATTTATCACGAGTTAACACATTTGACGGGCGAATGACATTTGATGGACAAATTATTCAGTGAGAGGGCATTGCATTTTAAAACCAAATTGTATACGCATATCTCATTGTGTTGTGGATCACCAGTGTAAATTTGCAAGATTTGCCATTAACGCAGAGGTCCAAGTGAGATAGAACCACTTTTGAAAAAACGAAAACGCAGAAAAGTGAGCGAGAACAAAGAGCAAATGATGTTTTCATATTACAAATAGCGCAGGGGGCCCCTTCGATCGGTGGGTACCAAGGTCACGCGGGACCAGGGTCACACAAGGTAAAGGATTTCCTGCAAGAGCCGAAAATTTGGGGGTGGCCATGAAAATGGCCGCCGTGCCCTTTAATGGGGGCAGGATGGAATCGACAAAAGGAGACACACAGGTAGGATGAAGGGGTAGGTGGTGGGATAGCGAAATAGAGCCAGCAAAGCGTAGCGAACTATGAATGAATGGGGAACAAAGAAATTCTAAGAGAACAGGTGACGCTACATGCCGAGTGCAAAATAAAAACTGATTGGCTAAACAATGTTGACCAAAGGAACAACTCGCTGATGGACAAAGGTCAAAGGTGACTAAAATCGAGGGGCATGTTGCTCAGTGCATTTACAAAAATAGATTTGACACTTTACAAATCTCCACTTTGTAAATGCACACCACAACAAAAGTAGAGTAACAAAAACACATATTTATTGCAAACAAAAAATTGAATAAAATTGCACTAACTACAAAATACAAAACTATAAAAAAATACAAGACTGTAAAAAAGGCTTGGCAGGGGGCCCCTTCGATTTGATGGAATCCTTAGCCCAAGCGAAGGGCATGAGGAATGAAAGTGGCCGAATAAATACATTCTGAACATCTATGACAGTAATTATTATGTATTATTATACCGAATAAATCCGAAATTGTAGCACTCACTTATGGCAGTCTTTCATAGCATCCCCGTAGAGCTGAATGCATACACACAAATACAGAAGATGAAAAATTTAAGAGCAGTGGTCGAATTTTATTAAGTTTTATCATGGAAGCCTTTTTTTTTTACTTATATGGTTGTATAATTTTAATTTCAGCAGATTTAAACTGACAACAACATAATTTGTACAAACACCTGGCGCCACCCTGCCACATGGCGTCCTCGTTATTGTTGAGTTATTGGCGTAAATCATGTAAATTCGGGAAGCAAATAACACCGAATAAACGGCAAGGT